CACCATGTGCAGGGCTGGTGTCCCCAACATCAGGACATGGAGCTGCTGGAGCGAACCCAGAGGAGGCCACGAGGATGCTCAGGGGCTGAAGCAGCTCCTGTGTGGAGACAGGCTGAGAACATTGGGGCTGTTCAGCCTGGAGAAGAGAAGCTGAGTGGAGACCTCAGAGTCTTCATGACTCCGAAGGGGGCCTACAAAGATGCTGGAAAGGGACCTTCATCAAGGTCTGTAGTGGTAGGACAAGGGGTGAAGGGTTCAAACTGAAATAGCAGAAGTTCAGGTTAGATCTAAGGCAGAAGCTCTTCCCTGTGAGGGTGCTGAGGCGCTGGCACAGGGTGCCCAGAGAAGCTGTGGCTGCCCCATCCCTGGCAGTGTTCAAGGCCAGGTTGGACACAGGGGCTTGGAGCAACCTGCTCTAGTGGAAGGTGTCCCTGCCCGTGGCAGGGGGTTGGAACTGGTGACCTTTAAAGGTCCAACCCAGACCATTTCAGAGCTCTCTGAAGAGCTCAGGTGCATGTTGCACACCCACCTCAGGCTCCTCCACAGAAGGTGCCAGGACAGAAAGCTGGAGCTGACCCTCCCCAGGCCCAGCGCTCACCCAGACACCTCTCCCTCATTCAGACCAAAGCCCAGCTCCAAACAGACCCCATCGTGCAACGCAGTGAGGTAACGCAGCTCCGGGTGGAGGCAGCAGCATGCAGTCCCCAGCACAGGCAGAGAGTGCTGCTGCAGGTGCTGCTCTTGGGGCACCCATGGGGTGCTGGAGTCTGCTCCCAACCCAACCGCTCTCAAACATGAAGCACTAGGATTGTCCTAGAGCTGAGCACCCTTGACCTGGGAACTACCCCAAACCAGGAACCTGAACAGAGCTGGGCACCCCCAAACCAGATTCCACCAAGATCACGCACACACGCAGAGCTCCCCTCAATTGCACTGCTTTAACTGGGAGCACTGGCATTCTCCATCCCAAGACCAGCAATCCCCTATGTTGACACTGACCCACAGGGCACTCAGGGTGGGGGGCACCATCCCACCATGCCCAAGGGGGGTGCTGCAGCCCAAGAAGGGGGGGTCCCTTTCCTATTTGCATCACTGAGGCCCCCAGGGAGCACAGCTGCCTTCATCTGTTCACTCCAGACCCTACCGAGGACCACACTGTGGGGGTCTTCATGCCTCCCCCAGCATTCCTTCTTCCAGCAGCCCCAGACCCCCCACACCAAGGAGGAGAGAAAGGCACCACTGTGGTTTAACTCGTTTTATTTAGACTCAGAAAGGTAACTGCAACTCAGCTGGACCGTGAACACGTGGGGCTGAGACCCAGTAGAAACGCAGCAGAAGTCAGGAGCGGGGTGGGACAAGGTGAGCTGCAGCAGGGAACAGCATCCAGGCTGCCGAAGGAATGGTCACTTGTTAAGAGGAAGGTTTACGACAGCTGCCCGCAGTCAGTAATGGTGATCTTCTTGTTTGTTTTGCCATCTTTGGAGCCACAGCGCTCCATGGCCTCCACCACATTCATCCCCTCCTTGACGCAGCCAAAGACAACATGTTTGCCATCCAACCTGCAGAAAAAACACAGGTCACAGCTGGCACCTGCAGGCTCCATACAGGGACCTCGGCACCAGGCCTCACGTGTCATCTCCATGCCCAGGTGGGTGCTGGGGACTCCCTGACTCACCATTCAGTCTTGGCAGTGCAGATGAAGAACTGGGACCCATTTGTGTTGGGGCCAGCATTGGCCATGGACAGGATACCAGGGCCTGTGTGCTTCAGGATGAAGTTCTCATCGGAGAACTTCTCCCCATAGATGGATTTGCCACCAGTGCCATTGTGGCGCGTGAAGTCACCACCCTGCAAAGAGGCAACGTTTGAGGTCACAGCTGCAGAAGACTCTCAAACCAAGCTGAAGCCCTGCAGAGGCTGCAGGCAGGAAGCAGAGCTGCCCTCCCACCCCAAACCTGCCAACTCCCAACTCTGAAACCCACGCAAGCGCCACAGCTCCTCACCCACCCATCTCCCTGCTGTGGTGGGAGCACCACGCACCTGGCACATGAACCCAGGAATGATTCTGTGGAAGCAGGAGCCCTTGTAGCCAAATCCCTTCTCGCCAGTGCTCAGGGCACGGAAGTTCTCTGCGAAGAAAGAGGAAAACCACCATGAGCTGCTCATTTTGTCCATAACGAGGAATAACATCAGGGTTTGGTGCAGCTGCAGCGTTGCCAATACCACTTCACCTACCTGCTGTCTTAGGGACCTTGTCTGCAAACAGCTGCAAAGAGAGGAGAGACTGTCAAAGTCAGGGTGGGGTAAAGACCAGCCACCTACCCCCACCCCGGG